TACGTTGTTGTGCGACAGGAAGGGCAGAGAGAAAAACAAGCGGCAAAAAGGATGGTGAAGTCTTAGCTACACGTGCTTGTCCAAGAGTGTGAGTAAGTAAACATTTCCATGTGGAACATTTTCATTCTCAGAAAACAAAGTGGTCTCATGTAATATGATATTTTTAGTACGACGCTATAAGACTTACATACGACCACGAAGATCTAGAAGATGAATTTGTTTCTCTAGCGCTCATCTAACGATGTAAAATGCAAACGAGTTGCTTTTATGGAACTATTCAGTACTGACAATATTCTATAAATCCTTCAGTCAGACCTGAAAAGCAGTAGGTGGTTTTTTACCTATCCAAACATCTGCATAAGGCCTCAGTCACACAGGCCGAGAGATCAAGGAAGAAACTACTGGCAACTGTAGAAGTCAACTAAGAGGTTTTTAGTGGAGCACCGTTCAGCTCTTTGTGGCCGGTTTTATGCTACTGACTGCCAGGAATCTCCAGCAGCTGCTCGCCAAGCGGATGTGGAGTACGCACTTTTCCCTAGCGACCAGTGGTTGCCAGGGGGGTCACTGACTTGTCTCTAGGCTTGTGTGAATTGGACTTTAGCAGCTGATTTAACAGACATCCAGCAACTCCTGCAACCACTTGCCAACCAGTTGTGGAATATACATTTTCCCCCAGTGGTTGCCAGATGTTCACTGACCGATCTCTAGGCCTGTGTGACGAAGACTTTAAATACTGCAATACTAACACTAATAATAAAAGCAAATATTAGATGGCCATTGCACTTGCAAAGCCACGGTAATATTATTTAAACACCTGGCCTTTTCCTGCTGGGATAAGTCGAGATCGTGGTATTTTAAGAGTTAATAGAATTAGGAACGTGATTAAAAATGTTTTTTTCCGATTAGCTGTGGAGGGATGCCCATAGGTCCTGAGAGCTGAGCGAGGAGTCAGGTTCACTGCCGAGTTCTCTGCATGTCAGTATATTATCAGAGGTATTTTCTCATGCTGTCACTCAGCCCCACAGCGTCCATCTCTGTAAACAGCTCATAGTCAAATAAACAGTTCTGTTCACAAGCCTTCCCCGCTCTCATCGCCGAGCGA